GTCCACCGCATGATTTGCACCTGCAGCGAGCTGAACATGGCAATATCATCTGCAGTGGGCATAGCTGGTCGGCCATCATGCATCATCCACTGCCGACCTAAGTCGAAAATACACGGTATCAGTAGCAGTAACTCTAGCCAGCAACCGCATAGATTCCCCACGTATTCCGATTGCAGCAGCTGACGCGCCCGCTGTTCGAGGTCAAAGTTCAAGAACAGTTGGGTACTGACACGAGCATCAACCGAGATCATGCTCACGGCCGCAGTGTAGGTGTAGTATTCGATAACAAAGTCTTTTAGGTCTTTCGGTACCGCTGTATCGCTTTGTGAGAGTAGTCGAATGAGGAGAGAGTTAGCAGCAGTTAGATGATCGAATATCGTGCCATTCATATCGCCTTTGGCCGTCTGCAGCTGTTAGCCTCGTTCAGTTATCTTGTAATGTAGGCGTACCTCTGTAAAGCACATCACCAACGCTCCTACTGTCAGCATGAGCGGATTTGACTCTTTCCCGTCAATAAAATCGGTAACGCCTTTTCGGAATAGCTGAAGGGCTGACGTGTAGTGTTTCTGTGCCACCTCGTCAGACTCCTTATGACAGCGAAACGCCCGATGGGCAGCACTCTGCGTCAGAACCAGCTGGAGCAGAAGATCGCTGCTGAAAGCGAGTGGCACGATCTGAACCAAAAATGGATTGATCGGGGTAGACCCGTTGGCCATGCAGTCGGCTGTCGTCGCCAAATAGTGGCTCAACAGCTGATAAGAATCAGGTCCATGGCCGGGAAACATGGACAGGCTCCGGGGGAGTAGATTGCTAACGGAGGCAGACATTCCCAGGGCTTGGCTGTTGCCGATGGCAGGATTCTGGGCAGGATCCATTGAAATCAAGGGACCTGATGCGGGAGACTCGCGAGACGTGTCTTCCGGGGAGTTGGACTCCCGTAGTATCTCCTCCGGGGAAGATGGGGAGGTAGAACGGGACTCGATCGAGCTGGACGTTTCCCGGTTCACGCTGATCTGTCGAGGGGGTCCATCTTCATTTGACTGTCGATCCTGATGGCCATCCTCTTCAGGCATGAAGGAGATATTGTTGGCTTTGGGTTGGCCTGGGATGATGGTCGGCCACTGGCAGGTGAGCTTATTCCGCACGCATCCCCCACAGATGGGTTTGGCTTCGTCACATTTCTTCTTGCGGCGTCTGCAGGCCCAGCAACCGGTGCGGACGCGGACGATGGGGTCGGTACGCGGCCGTCTACTAGGCGGCATTGGTGTGAAATAAGGGGCTTAGCGCTAGAGGAGTGGGAGATTGGAGGGATTCGGTGCTAAGTTCAGAGGCATGGAGAGCGGATGGGAGAACAAGCGGAGACGGCGCGGGAAGCCGAAGATAATCCGGTGATTGGTTGGCGGGGCCAAAGTGGAGATTCCATTGATTCAGCTTCAGGTTGAACAGTTAGCATTATGAGAGGGTGGCCACTCTTGATGTGCTGGAGAGGAACATACAGTGGGAGTTGAACTATGTTCTGGCCAAAGAGGAAGACAATCCCCTATTTAATAGGTCGGCTACTTAGTTGATGCTAGGTGCCAACTGGTCAATGGCACCACCGACATGAGAAACATATTATATCCACTACGGACAGCAAACAAGAACCTGAATCTTTTCTATCCAACAATATGAATAGACCAATATGATGGATCACCACCCCGTCAGTCTCGGCCAAACATCCACAATCGTCGATCCATCCCCATCCCGACTCGAATCCACCACCAGATACCACCCATACATAGCCCCCGTCACACACGCATGATTCGGATATATCCTGACAGTCTGTCCGACCTTGAGCGGAATTGCAGAGCCATCTCCTCCTTCCCAGGCAACAATCGCATGTTCCTGGCTGATCCGATCCACAATCAACCGCGATGACCCCTTCTCTCGTCTCCAGTCCCCAACCACTCCCCATCCCGGATACGACTTGCACGGCTCTCTCCCCAAAGCCAGTGACCCAGCAGCCACCAAAGCCTCAGGCTTCGACCGCTCAGCATCATTATACACACTGCAGACCTCTGCCACCACCGAAATGCCAACCTCTTTGTCCGCATCCGCAGTGGGATGGATATTGGTGCCCAATTGCTGCATATCCAAAACCGGGTAGACACCCGCATGGAGCTCAACTTTGACTGACAACTCACCATCCACATTCTTCTCGTGCAACAAGCTCTTCAACCGCCTTGCCTCCTCAGTTAGTTGCCCCTCCTCCTCAAGTAACTTCTTCACCACAACCACCTGCGGCGTAGCCCCAACACTGACCACCAATTCCCTCCCCTTACCACCAGGCAATGTGAACAAATCCTTATTCTTCCTCAATGCCTCCCGACAGCCGGTGATCTCTTGCACCAAGAATCCCATTACCTTCTCTGGCGTATCTCCCCCGTAACTCAAACTGTTATGTGAGTAAACCCCCAACAGAGCCAACTTCCCCTCCCTCTCTCCTTCAATCACCTTCTCGATCAAACCCCCCTTATTCAGCATGGAAGGCGGGAGTCCCGCCCGATGATACCCCGAATCCACCTTGAGAAACACCGACGCCGCATGGCCCGCCAGTTCTCGAAACTCGGTCAGATACGGGACCTGATCAGGATGATCAATCATGACGGAAATACTCCCCTCGCCTAGTTCGCGCGCTAGTGCAGCCAACCTGGGAACCTGAGAAGGCACAAGAGGTATGCCGTAAAGGACATTGACCTTTCGTCCGGTGGCTCGTAGTTCCTTGAATAATGGGAGCAGAGTTTCCCCTTCCAGAAGGGTCGAGATGACAAAGTTTGCGGGTATAGATTTGTCCTCCCCGACTTGGAGACGAGCGACTTGGGGTGTCTGTCATTACATTAGCCATCACATACATTGGAATTGAGAGTTGGGTAACTGGGAGGGGCATACTTTGTGTGTCTTGACATGCGCACGAAACCCCACGTCCAAAGTCTTTACTGCATCCAACATGGACGCGCAATGGCGCTTGATGATAGCTACATCTAGGACAACGGCGGGTTTGGGGACCGAGCCAATGTCTTTGCCAATGTAGTAGCGTTGAAGGGATTCTTGCGACGGTGGTGGTCTGGTTGGGAAGTCCATGATTAGACCTTTTTCTCTTCAGAAACTGAAATTAGTATTGTCTTTGTAGTAAGTAGAGTTAAACCGTGTATGTGTGTAGAAGGTATTGAATCGGATATGTCAGTTGAAGTTGTCGATGGCCATTGAATCATCATGTGGGGCGATTTCGGTGAGGTGCGGGGCGTAGGTTTAGCCTGAAGTTTAGCCGGGGGCTGCTTCTTATCCGCATGGATCGAATTGATATCTTTCTCCAAAGATATAGCCATAACATGAGTAGAGCAAACACTTGTTGATGGCTTGTAGAAGAAATCGGGATGAACGTACTATGAGCTTTTTTTCGTATCAAGGGTTATCATCGACATTACACTTCCCTATTCCCGCGGTCCGGACAAAAATCCTCTATCCCGCTATGAAACAGTCTTATCATGTCCAACCTTCCATATCTTAAGCGGAGGTATTTCACACCTAGGGCTCCGCCTATACCTAAACTCCTCCATCAAAGACCTTGCCCCCTCCTGATTGATAGACCAATGCCACGGACGAACTTGATCCGGAATCTCAACCTGCTCGAGATCAACAGCCATCACCTTACTATACCCATGCTCCTGGTCACCACATAGTATAAAGTTATCCAGTTTCTGATCTAGATAAAAAGCTTTATACGTCGAAAGCTTTTCAAAGACATCTTCCAGATAAGACTCTATCAGGTTCTCAGGGACTTCTTGGTTGCTGCGAGCCAGATCATCTAAAGTAGTCCCACGGATGTCTGATAATATGAGTGCAGGTAGGCCATCGTAGTACCCCTCGCCGTAGAAGTATGGGATCACTTGCCCCTGGAGGTCTTTTAGTTTGGTGTAGGCTGTTTTTTCATCTTCGAATTCTTCTTCCCAGTCCTCTTTTTGTTGCTTGATGATGATAGATGTGGCTGTTTCTGGGATCATATGTCGATATGAGTTTTGTTCGAGGTGGAAGCGGTACACTGTTCGACGTGAATCTAGGTGCTCGACCTTTGTTGCTTTGATCTCATGGCTGTCTAACTGGATGATCTACGGGGGTTAGTATAATCCAATTCTCTGGTAATATGTAGAAAGATAATATCTTACTTTAGATGGTCCCATCGCCGTGGAAGGATGCTTCATGACCACTTAGGCATTCGCCAAAATTAAGATAGCTAAGAAGAATAGTGAAAAGGAAAAAACTTTAATAACAGCAACAAGATGATGACTTACATCATGTGGTCTATCACTGCAAGGGGGGAAAGCTATATAGTCTAGGCTGCGATTGTCAACCTAATTCAGGCTGCATATGAAGTACTAACTTCCGGTTCTTAACTTCTGCATCGAACTTGCTACGCAAGCTAGGGCATCATGCATAGGCGTGATTCTGGTCTACCGCCCAACTTCCCCGCCCCCATCCACCTCAATAAACCCAATACGCCCACCACCCCGGTACCAACATTAGTGTGCTAGCGCTTTTCCATACTTCACTTTATACTAGACGTGTTGTGGATCAATAATAATATACCCTGTCAAGTGAGATATTTGTATCCTGCTGTTACCGTCCAAGCTAGTGCTAGTGCGCATTTGAAAATTGAATTCTCTCAAAATACTATTTCGAGTTAACAGACTCAGAATGAATCATATCTCTTATTAGCTTACTTTACGCGAGCTGTGCTACTACAGGTGATTAGAATGCCATATCTCATATATTTCCTGCCTTAGCCAGGTTAATTCCTCCAGTCACTAGGTTATATAGGTGTTTCATGTTAAGTTCTTGATTCATGGACCAGTTGTCCCCGCTAGGATTATTATCATCTTAGGAGTCATCGATTTTATAATACGCAAGCACCCCACGGGATCGGGAAAAACTGACTGAAAATTCATAACGGCGGACCTGATTCATCAGCCCGGTTTCCTTTCAAACAATGATCTCAACCTTGCGCCCAGTGACCGACGATTGTCCGGTCTTACGGGCACGTCCTCCTGCTTCACCTCCCGTTTCAGTGGTCTTTTTATCATTATATACACAGTCTCCTCTTCTGAAGTCTCCTCTTCTGATTTCCGACGTCTAAGATCATTGAGTTCGAGTTTAGAATCATCATCCCTCCCAATAACTACGTTGTACATCTCCGTGTCCACGACAAAGAATTTAGATGTATAAACCGCGTCATGCCATGCAAAACGCCAGTTTACCTCAACTTGAAATTCTGTCATAAGACTCGTTTGATTTCCTGCATCAAAGGGGAGGGGGGCCAAGACCTTCGCCGGAATGGATTGGAATGGGATTTCAAGTTCCTGCGCGGCTCTGAGAGACATAAAATTGGCAGTAACATTTATGTCAAAAAGAACATCCACCTCTGTCCTCGAATCCGGGGAGGGGCCCCAGAAATAGGCGTGCTCCGACCAGCAATCTTTCAAGTTCTGCGGACAGATGATGGTCGAAGGTTCTGAAGATGTTTGCCTAGTGTCATGATGCTCTTCTCTAAGCTCGATCTTGCGAGATTCCATGGGTTTCTTAGGCTCCTCAACCCGCTCTCCATCATCTCCATGTGTACTAGGCGTCCGGGAATGACGTTCTGATTTTGCATATGCTCCACCCTTCTGTCCCTGAGACTTTATCTGATCCGCCTTTCTAAGTTTGTCCAGTTCCATTTGCCTTGATCTGTCAGAATTAAGCTCAAATGAAGACGACACTTCAGAGCTGCAAGCAAAATATGAATTCTGCTGGAAATAGTCATCATACAATGACCTCTCCTTGCAGGGAGGTCGTTCTATACTAGGTTCTTTCTGGATGTTATTCTTGCTCAGCCAGTCGTAGACCTTTTCAGAGCTGTTGTGAATATTTTCAATACTCTCTTGTCCGTTATCATCCGCCCATGGTAATGCCCGGAGCGAGAAAGAGTGGACCTCCTTAGTGATTCGATTGAACAGTGCGTCTTTTTCCACTTCGACTTCGTCGTCTTCTGGCCAATTGCACAGTGGACAGTGTCGGATTTCTGATGGTATTGTCTTTTTTGACAACTCCACCAGGACTGGTATATGGGCTAGTGGAACGGTCGCAGCATGAAAGGACTCTGTATGCTGTACAAAGGCCTCCCTGTTTGAAAACTGAGACCCATCACCACATGCAAAGCAGGTCCAATATGTCATGCTGCTGTGATCCTTCAGCATGTGCTGTCGCCAACTATCCTTTGTATTGAAGAGGACATAAGGCTGATCACAACTGGCCAAAACACAGGTGTAGGGGCTCAAATCATCTTCAATATGTTTCCTACTCTTGTGTTAGCTTGGCCGTGAGTGGATCTGTGTCAATAACATCACCTCCACCTGATTTCATCTGTCATTTGTGCAGGGAGTGCTTCGCAACAACAGGGACACCGAAAGAGCCGCGCATCATCTTTGAGCTGAGGCGGGCGCGGGTAATCTACTTCGAGTGCAGTGTTTGATACTGCGGAAAGCGTGACGGATTTAGCGTGGTCTATTTGGTGTAGTGTGTGGCCTGGTTGTGGTAACTGAAAGCCATCGGACAATCTGGAGGCACTGGTTCCAGTGATTACGGTGTTGTTGGCGTGCATTGGGCTATTATTTGAGGATTCCCAACTTGGTTTTTCTTGAGGTATCTCCTTCTGTGCTGATCCAGCTGGCTTCGGTACAGGTGTGCGACGTACGTAGCCAGCATTCAGACCCATGGCGTGTCTTTGAGAATACAAAAAGCGATTTCGACGCTTTAGGTTGCAGTGTACCAATCGCAATTGTACTTCATCCAACTGTGATGGGTCTCTTGCTTGGATACGACCATTTAATTGACAGAGTAACATTCCGACAAGGTGGCCTTCCAGCTCCTGATACTCTGATGCGTTAAACAGTTGGTCTGCCTTTTGCAGCCGTGAACGTCGTCCGGAGCGACGAATGGCAACTGCGACCCGGGAAAGTTGATCCATCATCGACTCAATGTCATACATTGACTCATACAACAGGTTCCCGGACGGATTCCGCGACTCATGACGGTCTGTCGACTGTTCATCAGAGCTGGAATCATCGGACCATGGGGAAAAAGATCGCCCTTGTCCTTCGTGCTCAGAAAAGGTAGGGTCTTCCTCATTGTGAAAAATGTGCGAAAGATCTTGTGCTTTGCTTCGTTTTAGACATTCGTCAATCATAGTACTTAGCAGGCGCAATAAATTGACGATCACATCATGAGCTTCGGGCCTCGAAGCTAGTCTCGAGTCCAAAGAAGCTCGTCCTCTGGCGCAGGCTCCGGTGCCTGATATCCATAAGTTCATATCGGCAAGGCGGTTCTCAGCCCACTCGTTTTCCATGAGTGGTGGATTTTCCAAGCACTGTGTGAAGAGGTCGACGCATTGCTGCGCAGCCTCTTTTATGCCCTGCTCCATGGCTGCCAGGTAGCTCGTTGCGTATGTAGTCGCTAAATGCGACGATATGTACTCATGTAGATAGATTCGGCTGAGGGGTTGCAGCCTCACTAGTCTCGCTGGTCTAATATTGATCCGACCCCGCTCCTGCTGCACGGCGCTTACTTCGATACGATGAGGACGAACCTGTTCCTTCCCTTTTTCCTGTTTTCTTTCGGGAATCTTCTGGCTTTTTTCCCTTAATTTCCATATAAATGGCACAGCAACCCACATATATTCTCTCTCCCAACTTCCATTTCAAGCCAGGAACGGGCCCTATCGGATTAGGGTACATAATATCACACCCCCTACGACCGCACCGAGCCCTGACAACTGTCGATGCGATGACACTAGAGAAAGTTTACCCACGGGTTGAAAGATTTACGGATTGCGAGCGAAGTATTGAACGAGGAGACAGCCGCGATGCCTCGATGAGCTTGTGGGCAGAGTTCCTGCAGACGTTATCCGGAAAGTTGTCGGGCGGACGGGGTAGCGATGTGCGATCAAACTATACGATGGACCAACTGGAGACAGAATACTTTGTCACAGACCCTCCGCTTGAAGAGATTCAAGCACGTCTAAAAGCCCCTCGTGTTCAGGCTGTCACCAAGGCAGGCAGGATTCTTGGGTTCAGGAACCCTGTTTACATGGTTACGGGTCTCATGATAGCGAAAGGGTTCACCGCCACTATGGAGAACAACAAACGCCACAATGGGGAGATTGAGGTTGGCGGCAATATTCCATCGCCGGGGATTCAAGTTGGCGCTGGAGCCAATCTTGCCAAATCGACCAGCACAGAAGGATCAGATACTTGGCGGGCGGGCGAGGACATAGTGTTTGCATATCAGCTTCTCAAGATAGAGGTCAAGGGTTGGAAAGGTGATAGAGTTAAATACGATGAGCTGAGGCACAAGGCCGCCTACTTGAGCAAAGATGATGAAGATGAGACAGATGAGGACGACGATTCCGTGGAAGAGATCATCATAGGTTCAGCTGATCCGGGCACTTTAACCAGTGATCATGATCAAGGGAGTATGACTGTGACAGAAATTGGAGAGGGGGATAGTCGAGTCAGCTGTATTTCTTCGATAGTTGGAAGTAATCCCTGACTCAGAGTGATCAGTTCTCGCTATCAGAGCCCAGATAACTTGCCGCCAATTTTTGCCCACCGGGCATCCTCCGGAATACCTATCAAGCCCCGTACCGTCAGGTATAAATAACGTGACTGGAGCGTGTTAGAGGATATGGCCCTGAAGATTGCATTCATTCCCCGACGTGTCCAGGCTCGGTTTTTGGCATTGTAGAAAGGCTTCTCGGGAGGGCGAGAACTAATATATCCCAGAAGAGATCCTGCTATTCCGGCCGCTATAGCCGTAGCAACTGATGTTCCAGACCTATACTCTTCGCCATCAGAGTTGGGCCACGCAGAAGGAACGTCTATGCCAAGAGTCCCGAAAACCACCGGTTCATCTTCATGCTTAGGGGGGTTAAAGTCTGCAAATAGGCCGTTTGAATTCGTCCCTCGAATAGAGATGACAGACTCGTGTCTGGCGGGAAACATCTCTCGATCATTGGCCCCATAATTTGACGCGGCTGCAAAGAAAAGAATGGAATCTTTGCGTTTGTATAGCGCTTCGCGAATTGCGTCACTGATACACGGCTGTTCGTCTGCAAAGCCGAATGACATGGAGATGATGTCGGCTTTCCATTCTCCACTTGCCCAAGAAATTGCCTAAGCAAGTCAGCTGAGTCACATTCAGTACTTCCTTCGGAGCACTAACTTCTGCAACTTTGTCACTGGAATTCAAGAGTTGATGGGGGCTTTTGGCAATGCGTGCTACATATATATCAGCATCGGGAGCGCACTTCAGAACGAGAGACACCAAATGAGTGCCATGTCCATGACAATCTTCGGGCTGGCTCGAACCATCAACCCAGTCTTTCCAGCCTTTAAGACGTTCCATAACATCAGGTGAAAAGAAGAACGGGGCATTATCGTCGTATCCAGTGTCCAAAATCGCTATCCGTACGCGCCGGGATGACTCGCGTAATCCCGCTGCTGGTGCAACTTGAGCTAGCTCCCTGTTAAACTCCTTCAAGTCTAATAGCCAGTTGCTAGCGCTTTTCTCACTTTCGGTGCGCTTCCTCCTGCGTTCTGGCGCTTTGCCCTTGTCAGGATTGTCCGGTGCATTGGCTTCTTTCATTTTTGCATCCTGGGAAAGGACATTGAGCGGGGCTATTTTTTCATAGTTGTCGATCCATTTTGTGCCCTGTAGAAGGTTTTCAAGCGGAAACACAACTTTCTCGTATAACATGTTCCTCCGTTGTTTGAGGTTTTGTCTCTGTTCAGAGGCAGATAAACCTTCCATACAAGCCGCCTGGTCGAATGTACCGGGCTCCAAACAGTGGCATATTGAATTCATATAGTCGGGGTAGTCGAAATTCTTCCAGCGCTCTTCATCCTTTGCATAGTTGAAGGCTGTGAGCAGTTCAGCATTGACTTCGGCAGCCAAGGGCTGCCCCTGTTTCTCACGCTTGGGAAGCGGAAACCCAAGACCTATCTCAACCAGCATAATACCAAGCGCTCTGATCCTTGGATAGACATGCACCATCCCAGGAACCTTATATTGTTCGTAGCACAACGGATCTTCATCGTTGAAATGTACTGATACATATGGCTTCCAGGTAAAAAGCTTACCCTGGCCCCTACCCCCAGAGGTATCACTTTCCCTCATGAATTGAATAGTCTCGCTTGTCCATTTTGTTCGCATCCAATCTGTATCGTAGTACTGCCAGACAGAGTACGCTATTATGTAAGCTAGTACAAGCTTCATTCGTGCCGTTAGATGGTAGGTGCTGAGGATTTTCGCCAAACATATCCCTGGAATATGGTCGATTTTCTGCTTGTGGGGCTCAAAGGAATGATAGAGCTCCTGGTCTTCAATAGATAGGCAAAGGCGCCAGCCTTTGGCTAGATCGAGTAAACGGCAAAATTGACCTTTGTCTGTTCGTTGCCTTATTTTTGCAGATAGATTGTTGGCCTTCTCATCTCTATATCCATCATCTCCATCAAAAAATCGAACGCACTTTTTGCCGTGTGTATGGTCGTTTGGCACAAGCAGCTCAATATCTTGCCAGTGAGTCAGATGTGACTGGTTCCAGAAGGGCTTTGATGAGAATAGCATATCAAAATGTACCAGGTTGTTACTGGCCACTGATTGGGAAGGTGGCTGTAGCAGGAGACACACTAGGTGTCCTCTCTCCATTTGCCTACGTACTCCATTGCTCTGGCAAGTACAGCACATTTGCTCTCGTAGGACTCGATGAGCGAGCTCGTTGGCAAGATCTGAGCGCTCTGGGCGAGCAGCTCTTTTTCTAGAGCTGATATCTCCACTCTCGTCGCGCCTAGATGACTTGCGATTGCGCTCAACGAATCTTTGGATATGAGAAATGGCCACCTCGGCGTCACGAGGACACACGGTAAGCTGATCAAGTCCTCGTCGAATCTTTTTCTGGGCCTTTTTATAAGATGCCACGTCAGGGAACGGCTTTGCTATCGCTTCAAGGAGAGGATAGTCATTTCTTGGGATATTCTTCGGCCACTATTCCAAGCTCATCAGGCTCCATCGACATAGATTTAGATTTCTGCCACACTTACATTGCACATAACCTCCACATCTCGCAGTAGCTTGGATATTCGTAGTCGCAGTTGCCTCTCCTGATCTAAGCCAGCCGTGTCGATATAGTTGGCGACGAGGAAGAGCTCAGCCCCGAGACGCCCACATAATGGTCGCTTGGACTCAACGCCCAGTAAAGACGCGATGTTAGCGACTTGGGCAATGGCAGTTTGTGCAAAGTCTATTGGATCCTCACTCGCCATTCGGTTGATGTCACGATTTAGCATAGGTGACCATGGAAATGTTTGAGAAACAGTGAGGCGGCTGAGCGATGCGGGGCAGACTCAGCTGATGATAGCGCGCGCCTATTCACCGCGTGTTCAACCCAGCCCTTGACTACCTTCATATTCTTCGCTTCCTCGGTCGGGCAGTCCATTCTCATGATGAGCCTTGAGATCCAGCTTCTGAAACATTGAAGCCATGACGACTTAGAATTCGGGTGATTTTCTAGATATAGATCCATCTTGAGGGCCTTAATCACTGATTACCTACGTAGTTGCAAGATTCGACCAGCGGAACTTGGTAAATGTAGAGCGATTCCATACCTTCTGTAGCCAACCACTGCAACTACATCAAGTACCCGTCATCACCATCAACATCACCTACACCCTCCCTCTCAAAAACAACTTCTCCGGCCTCAACCACCTCAAAAACCCCTGTACCCCAACCATCCCACTCCCATTCCTCGCCTCCCCATCCTCACTCACCCCCTTCACCTCCAACTCATAAAACTTCCACGACCTCAGAATCCACAAACACACCGCACCCAACACAAACATACAAGCAACATACACCTGGGCACTCAAATACCCGGCCCCGCTCCCCGCCATACTCAACGCAATGGCCTCAGCGACCAAATTCGGCGCCACCAACATCAAACACACCATACCAAACGTCGACGGGAGACGGTTCAACCCGACCACATCAGTAAGCACTGGGGCTATAGTACCCCAGAACGTCCCGCAGACCATACCGCACAGCACCGCGAAGAGGAGCAGGAGTGCATATGAATGGGCAGGGATCCAGATAGCGAGACACAGAAACGCGCACGACGCCGTCATAGCCATGGAGATGGTGATGCGGCCGTAGGCATCACTGATGTAGCCAACGACCGGACGGCCAAGGACAAGGCCGAGGTTGAGGATAGCGCCGGCGACGGACCCCTGCTGTGGGGAGAGGCCGATGGAGGAGGCGTAGTTAGGGAGAGAGTATAGGAGAGTGATGTAGCCGAGGTCAGTGGAGATGCCCCAGACGATGATGAGGAGGACTTCGAGGTGGCCGAGGTCGCGGTGGTTGAAGGTTCGTTGGCGGGGTTGGGCGCGTGAGCGAGGCCGGTCTTTGAGGAGGAGGGAAGAGACGAGGTGGGAACCTAGGGCGCAGAAGGCGAGGATGCGGTAGGTGGATTGCACGCCCACGGATTGGATGGCACGGCCGGCGGCCAGGTTGTATGCGAGGCCGCCGAGGCCGGCCCCGGAGGCGGCAATACCGCTGGAGAAGCTGCGTTTGGTGGAGAACCATTTGGGGAGAATGGAAGTGGCGGTTAGGTAGAGGAAGCCCATGCCGAAGCCGAAGGCGATGCCTTGGGTGAGTACGAGGTGCCAGACTTGGGTGGAGTAGGAGGCGGCGAAGAGACCGGTGAAGATGAGGGCTGTGCCGGTGAGAAGAGTGATGGTTGTGCCTAGTATTTCGTTGGATTTGGTGACGATGGGTCCGATCAAAAGGGATAGGGAGACCTGGATCCCGCCGATGATGGCATAGTCGAGGTGGCTGGCGCCGGGGAAGGTCGAGTTGGAGAGGTAGTAGTCCAGGATTACACCCCAGGCGCTGTTGATGCCCCATGTGTGCACGTTGATCATGAATACGCAGAATGTGCACACCCAGCCGTATCCGCCGTTGGGTGGGATGTCTTCCAATGTACTGATGTTGGTGGCATTCTCGGGGCTTTGGTTGATATCAACTTGGTCAGGCGGCTGTAGTTCGAAATCGTCCCTTACGTGGAGGTGCTCAGTGCTGGGGTTCATTTTGAACTTCTCTCTGATGATTTGAAGGGTGCTTTTCTCTTGCTTTTCGGTTGATTTGATTGTAGAAGCCATGGTGAGGGTAGTCAGGGTTTATATGCATGAGTCACACTCACCCCGCCGTGACACGTCCGCCTGCAGACAAAGGCAGAAACTTGGATATGTGTAGAGACCCGATCCAGGGCTATTTGAGCTTTGTGTTGGACTTCAGAGCATGATGGAGGAGGGTAGTAGATCAATTGATTTATTGCATTAGTATGTTACAGATCAGATTCGTGGGTCCACATTCCATTTAATATCCTCCCGGCCAAATATGTCGACGCGTCAGCTTACTCGGAAGTACCGGACTCGACCTTGCCATTCTTCTACCACAGGGTTAGAGTTTTCGATAGATAAGAGGCAAGGGGAGTGGAGTGTCTTACCAGGGTACGGCTGTATTTCACACCGACATTGTTTCCGCTGCGAGAGTCGTAGGGAAAGGGGGTGGTGTAGTTGAAGGTAGCAGTCAAGCCCTCGTAGGTCTTCTTGACTGTTGAAAGAATTCCGTTGCCAGCAGAGCAGCTGGCATCAGTTGTGGGAACAGGCCAGCCAGCGTAGTACTCGCTGTAGTCATCATCGGACAGAGGACCCCAGTGAGTCTCGTTCATATACAGGTTGCTCGTATCAACCTCATAGTTAACATAGCCGGTCTTCTTGGCCAGCCAGCTGAACAGGTTCGCACCGCAGTCCCAGCGACCCAGAGAGGGGAGGCCCCAATTGGCAGACAGGGAAGCGATGACGGAATAGTGGGTGTAGAAGGTGTCATCCTTGGTACCTAGAAGATCATCCGGGACGGCACCGCCGAGAAGGAAGGTGTAGATGTTGTTGCCAATTTCATAGGTGCCGGTCTCGTCAAAGGTGAGCATAATAAGGGTGTCCTTGGTGAAGTAATCGTTCTCCAGAAGCTCAGATAGGAAGTTCCAAGTCCAGTCACCGGAAAAGGTGATGTTGGTGTCGTGGCCATCGTTGGTCATGTTGGGAGTGATGAACATGTACTGCGGAAGACGGTGGTTCTCCAGATCATCGTAGAAGCTACTGAAGTTCTTGATTTGGCGCAGACGGAGAGCATCTTCGGTGACCGAGTCAAACAGGATCAGAGGATTGTGCTTGCGAACATAGTCGTTGGCACCGCTCTCGGGGTAGCGGTAACCCTGGTACCCAGGGTAGGGGAGGCCTTCCTGGTATTCACCCCAGGCGATGTTCTTGGTATCGAACAAATCGGCTATGGTAGAAACGTTGGAAGGAATCTGATGGAAGTCATCATTGTCCATGCCGAAAGTGTCACCAGCAGCAGATGCGCAGTAGTTCGGCTCCGAAGGGTGAGTAACAGCCCAGAAGTTGTTCAATAGGACACCCTTCTTGGCCAGCACCGGCAGATGCTCGGTGGCAGCAGCAGCATCAAAATCCTATCAGAAATGGCATGTCAGCTGTGGTTCAATCACTGCATATACCAGGTGTAACAGCTGAGGACATACGGTGTTCTCCAACCAGATGTTCACAAAGCGGTTGAACGCCAGTCCCTTGACATTCGAAACGGGAGAGTAAGGCTGCACGGTAGCCTGTGCGGCACGAATCTCAGCCAAGGAGGGGTATTCCTCCGTGGTGGTCTGGGCCACAGCCAGAGAAAGACCTCCGAGGAGGGTCACGAGGGACTGCTTGGTGAACATGATGCCCTAGATATCAGCAGACGAAAGCTGAAAGTATATTAAGAGAGGGATCCGGCGTAATATCCACGGAGAAGCACACCAAACAAAAAAATCCAGAAAATTATCGGGCTGCTGAGGACATCTTTATATCTTTCTTCACGGCTGCTATGAACTCTATACCGGTCCATCACACGCGTGGTTATTCGTGCCGCAACTATTCTAGCCCGGAGCAATTTAATCAACGAACTGCAATTGGACAGGCCTGTTTAACCGACGAAGCCAGTGTGTCAGATCCCCACAGCATCTGCGTCGGCATTGTGGAACGTTGTCGGCTGCTGTTGTGCATGGCAGGATTGCAGCTGATGCCATCTGGTGAGATGTTCTGCACGTTGCGAGTCGATTGTCGCTGACTGGCCGACAGGGAAATGCCCGCTAATGCCGAGTTTGGACAAGCGGATAACTTAGACAGCGGAGAGTGACATTCTATTGGACAATTGCTCAACCAGGGAGCACAAGACTCCCGGTCCCTGGCACGTGCCCGCAATGCCTTCTGCCAGCGGATGGTTTGGCATATACTAGTCTTTCAGACTGAAAGCTCGCTTCCAGTGGGACTGCAGTAGTCCATCTACTGTGGAGACTCCGGTCACAAAGAGTTCGCAGTGCGTGGCTGTATTGCGCGAGTGACGGGTACGCTAGGAACATCCCGGACTACTGTACACTATGGAAAGTAGAATAGGAATTTTAGAATAACAGGTTGAACTCCATAAGGTCGTTGCTCTCATTATTTTGTAGTCAACTCTATCGATCTATATACCTTGTTGACCAGTCCGGTCACACCTGCGTAGCATGTAAATCCATCGGCATCATACATCCTATACTCCAGTCCGCTTAAGCAAAGAACTTGGCCTCACCCTCCTTCAGCTTGCCAGCACCAACCAGGCGCTTGACCTCCTCGGCGTATACGTTCTTGACAGCAGCAGCGTCCTTGCCAGCAGCGGTAAGGCGTCCAGCCAGACCAGCAATCTCCTCAGCGTCGATCTTGCTGATGATGAGGTCAACGTCGCCGAGAACGGAGTCAACCTGAGCAGCGGAGGGCTCACCACCCTCGCCGAAGTAGTTGACATCCTTGACGGAGCCCTTGAGAACACGCTTGTTCTTCTTAGCGGCGTTCTTAGCGGCCTCCTTGGCCTTCTTGTTCTGCTCACGCTCGGCCTTGGCAGCCTCCTCGGCGTCCTTCTTGCGCTGCTCCTCCTCCAGGCGGGCCTTCTCCTTCTCCTCGGCCAGACGCTTGATCTCAGCCTCCTTCTCGAGACGCTTGCGGTCCTTGTCGGCACGAGCGGCCTTACGGAACTTCTTGATACGCTCATCACCAGCGGCGCACTCGTCCACAAGGTGGCGGAGACGGGTAGTGTCCTCGGTCTTGCGCTTGCGGCGGGCGTTGGCGTTCTTCTTCTCCATGTGACGCTTCTGGTCACGGTTCTCGTTGTCATCCGGCACATCCTCGTCCAGGTACTCGAAGGTACGCCAGCTGTCGAAGTCGTACCAGAAGTTGTAGAAGGTCTCGACCTCCTCCTGGGTGCTGTTCTCGTCACCGAGCTGGGGCACGGGCTGGATCTTGGAGAAACGGCCCTCGGACTCGAAGACAGGGCGCCAGAGCTTGAAGAAGTTGCCCTTGGCAGCCTCTTTCTTGGTGGGGGGCTCGACATCAGCGGCCTCGTCTACGGAGTCGAACTGACGACGCTTAGTGGGGTCCAGGAGAACCTCAGTAGCCTTCTGGATGCACTTGAAGAAGCTGTCGTTCTCGTCGCGGTCACCCATGGCGGCCTTCTTGTCGGGGTGGTGGCGGAGGACCTTCTTGCGGTGGGCGCGCTTGATCTGCTCGGGGGTGGCACGCCAGCGGTACTTGGACAGACCGAGAACCTGGTAGTGATCTTGGCTCTGTAGTGTGTAAGAATCATACTTATATCGACGATTTTGGTAATGCATACCTTCCAGTCCTTGGCATCTCTGGAGAGCATCACAGGGTCCTCGTCCTCGGAGATGTCATCATCCTCCTCGTCCTCGGTGCTCTTCACGTTCTGCTGGGCCTGGATACGCTCATCCTCGGAGAAGGTGCGGTGGTGGCGCTTCTGGAGGGTTGTTAGCAGTGAGCCATTATCGCACTGGATCGGTCGCTAGATACGTACTCTGCGGGCGTGGGCCAGGAAGTGAGGGCCAACGGGCTCGAGGTTCCTCTGGGTGGCAGCGGAGACGGTGCCAACGGCCTTGAAGTCCTTATCGGCACTCCAGCCAGAAGGCAGGGAGGGGAGAGTAACGTTGATGGTCTGAACGGTAGCCATGGTCAAGAACAGAGCCACGCGGGGTGATTTGAGGGGAGAATGGGAAAGAGTGAGAAGCGCCCAACGGACTGTTTGAGCAAAAAGACAAAGTGCTTTTCCATTTTTTTCTGCCCCGACTTGCCGCCACCCAGTGGGCCAATCAAGCCTGGGCTGTTTCGGAGGTCATCGAAAGTCATGGACTGCCGCAGGGAACGACGGTTAGAAATTCAACCTTTTTGCATGTTGATTAGATCTTCTTCTTATATGTTTTGTTGTTTTTGACTGTACTTTCTATATCAAGGATTCTTTATTTACAGAGCGACGAGCCGCATTCGCCTGCCGACCATTTTCTTTATCATCAGATCACCCGTTACTATCGCAGTACGCCACCCCAAAAGACTCAATTTACAAGGAGACAACTTCTAAAAGGTCAACAGATTGAATTCTTCGATAAATCTCACTATCAACCCTCATAATGTCCTCCCAAACCGCCCTGTCCGCACGCAGTGCTTACCGCCAACTCCTCCGCGCTACCCGCATTGCCTTCCGGGGTCAGTCGCCGCCTCAACAGCCTTAAGTCTATTCAACGCTAACCATATTCAACGTGCAGATGATGTCCGTGTTATGATTGCTGCCCGTCAAGAGGCTCGCCGGAATTTCGACAGCCACCGCCGCGAAGGCATTGATACTCCGATGCAGATCAACCATGCGCTCGAAGTGGCGAACATTCTCAGACACAACATTGTCCAGGGTGTACGGGAGCAAGATGATGAGAATGCCAAGTGGGGTGAGTAGCTAGCAGAGGAATTATGCTATGGCTGAGTATATGTCGCTGACCCGAGATCCTATCAGAACTCCGCATTCATGACGACATCGAGCGCGGCGATAACGACACCATCAGAGTTAAGGGAAAGACTGTCAAGGTGGATAAGGCATGCTCGTCATAGAGGGAGGGTCTCCCGTGAGGAATCCGACTGTCTGGAAGCCTATGCGTGGGTGAAAGGATGACTGCAGACTATGGCATTTGCAGACTGTATTATAGTATACCCAAACTTTTCTCTCTCCTTCCGGCGTCTTTGGGGGTATTTTATGGTTTAATCAGAATGTAGAAAATATACACAACGCCCGCTCGCGAACATACATAAGACCTCCTTGTTCCCGAACCCTGTAGAAAACAAAATGCGAGTGTTGAAATGCAGATCAATCACCAGACAGACTGGAGTACTGGACCTCTCCAGCACCCGGGGGTGGGGCGACAGCATAACTCCGTTGTTTTTGCTCTTTGCCAATCTCCTCTCCGGCAGCGGTGATGGCTCTCTTTCCAGAATCGGCTGCCCGCGGGCCTGCCGCCTGCCGACCTTCCCGGGCATTCTTCAAGCGCTCCTCCCGGTCCATGTTATCCAACGGCTTGGGCTTACCCCATCGAACACGCAGAGGGCAGCCTTGGATGACAGCCCGACCCTGGCACTGCTTGGCGGCTGCCTCGGCACCCTCCCGAGTTGCGAAGTTGACGAACGCAGAGTGAGCACGGTGGGAGCAAATGAGCGACCGCAGCTGTCCAAACTGTGTGAAGAAAGTCCGCAGCGTATGTTCCGGAAGATCATCCTCCACGCCAGTAACAAAGAGCGATGTGATGTTCGGATCCGCGGGCGGTAGGATATCTTCAGCCGATGGGGGCACCTGAGCGGCGCTAGGGAATGGGCGGCCACCACGACCACCACGCATACCTCCTCGTCCTCTACCCGGAAGTGGCGTTCCCCTCCTGCTTTCGCTTGTGCGAATGGGTCCCGGGCCATTTCCGTAGCGGCTGTGTACGACCGGTGCGTCGCTGGGTCCTGCACTCGCGCCCTCCTCGTCTTGGGGTGCAGCCTCTATCTGGCGAGGCTTCCTGTAGTAGGGCTCACTGTTGGCGAGCCTCCGAAGCAACTCCCGAGCTTTCTCGTCCGTCTTCTCGTATTCCTCCACCGCGCCACGCCCCTCTTCGATCTCCTTCTCGTGACCTTGTGCGTAGTATTCGCGGTTGATGGTGCTTTCGGGGCCCGGGGCGACCATCTTCAAAGCAGCATCACGAACGACGATCGGCAGCCCGAAGGACAGATCCAGCATACAGCATTGGCAGCAGTTCTTCAAACGCGCGCAGGTCAAGCAGATGGCAGTACGCTTCTGGCGCGCGGTGCGGTCAGCTTTCCAGCGGAAGATGGTGAAAGGACGCGTGCACTGGGAATATGTTAGTATGGTCTGGTTGTCCGAAAGTTGAAAGGTCTGCCTACAATCTTGCATTCTGCGCCATGGTCTTCCTTGAGCATCTGAACGTAAGGATTGTCGGGCAGGCAGTTCTCGCACACGGAGGGGAAGTCAGTGGTCTCCCATCCGGACCGGTTCAGGTCCTGCTTAATCTGTGGAGGGGGCATCTTGTCGTTGTGTTGATCAGCTGCGCTTCCACACAGAAACGCGAAGCCCTGCGGAGATGATGCGGCGAAGTTGAGCGTTGTCGGTAGCAAGAACTTGGATTATCGATAGTCGTAGTGGCGCATTCTGTGGCTAAGTGTGGCTGTTATGACATAAGCAAGATGTGAGTCACGTGATATGACTGCAAGTTCCTGCATCACATGCATGGAAAGGATGAACCCGAGTGCTTGTTTAGGCATCTGCGTAAGGAGTATAGTAATTCCAGTAGAAAGTGCATGATGCTCAATCATACAGAGTCTGAAACGAAACCTTGCAGTCCAGGCCTTGATCCCGCGGCATTCAACCTGATAGCATAGCCTCTTCTGTGCGACCAGCGGATCCAGTGATGCCTGGCGGAATACGCAGCGGATACGCGATACGCGATACGCAGCTTCTCGATATGACCAGGAACGCCCTGGTCAACTGCCTAGTACGGCTTAGCGCTGTTCCACCGTCTCTTTCGGATACAACTTTTTCCTGGCTAGAACCCCAGGATGCCTGTTCGGGCCTAGCCCCCCGCCATCTGGTTGGCTGGCCAGCGGCACAGCGGTGATTGGCTGGGGAAATGTCAAAGTCAGTCGTAATTCCGCCTCCCCTTTCTTTCGGTCGATCGCATTAACTGCTGCGTTGGCCTCGCTTGCTTCTTCGTATCCTTTCGTTTTCCTCTTCCTTCACTTCTGTCTGCCTGTTCGGCCTTTCTTCTCTTCTCAGGATCGTGTTTCTGGTTATAAAACTGCCTCAATTGCCTCCTCAAGTCACTGTATCCGAACCACTTACTCCGGACACCTGTGCTTCTTGACCGATCCACCCCTTTTTATCCCACTTTAATTTCCAATTGCTGTCAACAATGGCTCCCGCAGCTCTCGAACAGGAGAACCATGCGCGTGATGCGGAGTTCAACCGTGTCCTCCATGGAAAGTCCGCTGAAGCTCAGGGTGGTTTCGCTGCCATGCGCAACAAGGACGCCGCCGCTCAGAAGGCTGCTGTCGACGAGTACTTCAAGCACTGGGACAACAAGAGCGCTGAGGAAGAGACTGAAGAGATCCGTGCGGTATGTTTGCGACTTACTCGTTTCCGATATTGATGCTAAGCCTTGTACTAATATATCAATGTTCTAGGCCCGTCGTGCCGAGTATGCGACCTTGACCAGACAGTATGTACCACTATTGGGATCCAGATTCATGGGTTTGATCATCAGTACTAACTCGAATTTTCTATAGCTACTACAACCTTGCGACGGACTTCTACGAGTACGGATGGGGTACCTCCTTCCACTTCTGCCGTTTCTCCCCTGGCGAGGGCTTCCACCAGGCCATCGCTCGCCACGAACACTACCTCGCCCATCAGATCGGCATCAAGTCTGGAATGAAGGTTCTCGATGTTGGCTGCGGTGTCGGAGGCCCTGCCCGTGAGATCGTCAAGTTCACCGACGCCAATGTGGTCGGCCTGAACAACAACGACTACCAGATCCAGCGTGCTACGCGCTACGCTGAGCGTGAGGGCTTGGCCCACAAGTTGACCTTCGAGAAGGGTGACTTCATGCAGATGAAGTTCGAGGACAACACCTTCGACGCTGTCTACGCCATTGAGGCTACCTGCCACGCTCCCGAACTCGAGGGTGTCTACAAGGAAATCTTCCGTGTCCTGAAGCCCGGTGGTGTTTTCGGTGTCTACGAATGGTTGATGACCGAGGAGTACGACAACAGCAACGCCGAGCACCGCAAGATCCGTCTCGGTATCGAGCAGGGTGACGGTATCTCCAACATGGTCAAGGTCTCCGAGGGTCTTGACGCCATGAAGGGAGCCGGTTTCGAGCTCCTCCACAACGAGGATTTGGCCGACCGCCCCGACACCATCCCCTGGTACTACCCCTTGGCCGGTTCCTTCAAGCACTTGACCTCTCCCTGGGACTTCTTCACGATCGCTCGTATGACCTGGTGGGGCCGTGGCATTGCCCACCGCTTCGTCGGAGCCATGGAGAAGGTCGGTCTTTTCCCCAAGGGCTCTCAGAAGACTGCCGACAGTCTGGCCCTGGCCGGTGACTGCCTTGTTGCCGGTGGTGAGAAGAAGCTGTTCACTCCCATGTACCTCATGGTTGGCCGCAAGCCCGAGTAAACGGTTTCAGCAAAAAAAAAAACTTGCATTATGCCATAACGCCTGTACAAATCATTCTGGGACAGCATCCTATTGCATAGACAGCACGGCGGTCTATGTTCTTTAATATCCGGGTTTCTTTTTTTTTCCCTTTATATTTCCCTATGTTTCATTCCCTTTCTTGTGTGTCATTATATTGCATACCGCCGCGGGATGCTTTGTTTTCGTTAGTGCATTTGTTTTTTTCTTCCCCTCTGTTCCTTTTCCCATCTCATGTCCTGCCCATACGGGAATGGGCAGGCGTACGAAATCACTGCTGAGTATCATGTGCCGATGGTGATGATTCCTTTCTGTTACTTGTCATTTGTTGTTCAGAATAGATTTAATAGCGAGTACCAGGAATAACGAGTCTCAAAATTACCTATTTCACTTTACTTCCATACCAACAACGTAAATCATAACCAGTCTCATACCTTATCAAGCACCTCATCCAATAAACGACCCAATATATCCTACCGAGCCACTTCAATCTCCTTCGCCTCTGCCTTCTCCTTTTCATCCAAAAACTCCTCCGCCACCGGATTAGCATGACTAACCACCGCATCCTTCCCATCAAACAGCAGCGCAATCTGCTCGAGACTCGGTCCTTTGGTCTGCAAATATACCATGGTATTAGTCACCATCGCCACGATGTCGAACAAGAGCATGTGCATATATATATAGTGGGATGTGAAAGGGACAGAATGAACACCAACCTCAATAAAGAAGAAATACACCACCACAAACTCAACGATAATCCACCCCACATAGAAGAAATAATACTTCCATGCGAAGGCGTCAATCCCCAGTGGGTTTACATACGTGTTGAAGGCCCCTGTGGCACCGGTGACGAGCCAGAAAAGAGCGATGCCTTTGGCGCGGATGGAGTAGGGGAGGATTTCAACGACTGCGTTTGTCAGTTAGCTATTGCACTAACCATTTATATTCGGCTAGGTGAGAGATTCTGTGGCTTGGGATAGAAAGTACTAACCGTAGAGCATCATCGCACCCGTCCAACCTAGATTATGTACTCCGTTGTATATATAGATGAAAGCGACAGTGGCGTACGATGCAGACTGGCTGCCTGTTTCGACGAACACGCCCGTGCAAATCGTGATGAGCGCAAAGACGAGCCAGATGAGTCCCATGGACCAGAGCAGGAGAGGTCTTCGTCCGACTCGGCCGGGAAGGAAGGCAAAGGCTAGTGCACAGGCGAAACTGAACATTTGGCTTGTTGCGGTGATCAGGGTCGTGTCGACTTCGGCGGTTATTCCGGCGGATTTGAGCATGCTGCTGAGGTAGTAGCTTATTAGGCCGTTGCCGGACCATTGTTTGCAGATTCCTGGTGGTCTCTCGCATTAGGCGGTGGTGGTGGTAGGTTGAGGGTAGAGGAACTCACCACACCATATGAGGATGAACGAGCGCCATCTGTTTCCACGGGTGTTGATGAGTTCTTTCCAGGATGTCTTTTTGGCGGCGATCTCGAGTTCGATGGTCTCTTTCATTTCTTGGTATTCCTGTTGCACTACGATGTCCTGGGCGTCGCCGTTGCCGTGGTATTTGGCTAAAATGGCGAGGGCGGCTTGTTCGCGGCCGCGGCTGATGAGCCAGCGGGGGGATCTATGATTGTTAGGAATGGATTGGAATGTAAAAATCCTTTTGGCCTACTCTGGAAGAATGAATGCTCCAATTACTTGGATTATTGATGGAAGCGCTTGGAAGACGGTGGGAATGCGCCATGCCCTATCTTTCATAAGGATGAAGAAGTACGGTCTCGGGC